CTTATTGAGCAAACTTTCTTATTATGATTAATTGTTTTTTTAGTGCAAAATAATGTTTGGCAAGGATAACAAAGGTTTTGTGAAGTGCATTGTTATTGAAGTTGGGTAGGTTAATCATTTTTTCGATACATCACATCTTCCGTTCAGCAGTAATATACAGCACCGTTCGAAACCTGTTTTTTGTTTGATCTTTAGGTACAGAAGCTCTATTTTTAGGTTTTGATTTATTGTTTAGAAGACTTATCTATTGTTTGTCCATTGTTTTCTCAACCTATCATTAGATTCGTTCCGATCGGTGCTGACTATCTCAATCCCATTAACAATTTTAAACTTTAGACATTTGGTCATATATCGACAATTTCTCACACCAATACTGTCTAGGGATGGATCGAAGCCTAAAGCTGCGCCCAAGAAGCCTGCAGCGGCTAAACCAGCCCCTGCTTATCCATATTACCAGCAGCCATTCTATTATAGTGGAAAAAAGAGAGACGAAATATTCCCAACAGCAACCGCAATGCCTTCCTCGGCATCACCTACACCCTCCTCCTCTGATAGCTTTGATGATAGCTTTGAGGATACCTTTGATGACAAGAAGAAAGCAGCAGCAGCTAAAGCAGCAGCAGCTAAAGCAGCAGCAGCTAAAGCGTAAGTGTACTATAATACTCAGTAAGGACTGCGAAGACATGAGAATTGGTGCTATATATATACACAACCCATTGAATCATTATTTCGAATAGTTTTTTTATTGACAGAGATTTGCCTTACACCTTGATATAAAAATTCTAGGATATTTATACGATTAGCTATATAAGATCTGTACAAATAGCACTCTATTTCAACAATAGAGAGGGTCATGTATTTCTCATTAAAATGATATGACGATATGATTATCATGATGACCGGACGATTACTATGAAATAGCTTTACAAATATATGATAAGTGTGCTCTAACTGGCTGTCTTATTGATCTTTTCGATAGTAAACCAGTAAATGTTGTACTGGTAGTGAAAACGAAACCTGCCGATGGAAAGATTGTGCCAGGGGATCCAACTAAGCCTTTCCAAGATTACCTGAGCAAAAACAAGGGAAAAACTGCTGCACCTCTAGGGCAGGTAGCCAAAATAATGTCAATCAAACTTCTTCCGCCAGGTTAGTCGCAAACTGTGCATGTCGATTGATTGCAATGCATCATATCATCTATGTTTTTTGATGCTGTGTGAATAGATATTAACGTGTAATTCAAACAAATATGCAATTCCTTTATTCCTTCCCAAATTTTTAACAAATAATCTTTTTATAAGCCCTTTCCAGACCTAATTCATGTCACTTCTTCAAGAACTACAGATCAACACTGTTATTCTTCATAAGTTATTCCATATTACAGCTGTATCGCAAGCAAAATCTTAATTTACGACTATTTTCAGGAAGCGAACCAATAAAACAGACTATCTGCGCCCCTAGCTGCGCAACCASTTGCGCCTCAAGTTGCAACCCAAGCTGTTGCTTCCAGCAGCCGCAATACACKCCTTACGTTGCACCTTGCGGTACAACCGCGTACAACCCATGCGCACCTCCAGCTCAGCCACCAAAACCAAAGAAACCAAAGGTCATCTACTCTATGCCAAATCCACCACCTAAATTCCATGTACCAAAGTAAGTAGCTAAGCTATCGGGATTTATTTTAAATCTGCGCTTGATGCACATRTAGGATATAAAAGCATGACACCAAACATTGCCGCTTTACATTACAAGACTRACATAACACGTAACATAAACTTACAAACACTTTCTGTACCTTGATT